TGTGGGTACATAGTAAACAGTAAAGTAGCGAAATTCATAAAATTGATGACCTTATAAAGCATAAAGACCTATATAATTTCAACCTCCATCAAATTGCAAAATACATACCCTAATTTCTCCGCATTTGAAACTTCTCCAAAACCCTCAAAACCATATAGGAAGCATGTATGTACATATACTATACAAATTAATTGAAATTCTTATCTTTGTAAAATTAAAACTGAGCCTTATGTAATACAATAACTTAACCTTAAACTACAAAATACAACTTGAACATGAATGAATCATAAGAAGGCTGTCACGGTAAAGAAATCATAAACTTGTATCTATCATTACAAGTTACCTTTTTTACATTATTTTAACATTTTACTTTTAGTTAACTGAAATCTTCCTATGCGTATATATTTTATTCAATAATTGAACTAAATATCAAAAATAAATATTGTTAATTAATATATAGTGGGGTTAATAAACTGTTTGACTTTCAAATTTTTTAATTTCCCACTTTTTTAACTTCAAATGAAAATTTAAATCAGTAAAAGAAATCATTTTTGAAAGTAGTTTCTTTCAAATTGTGTTCTAAAATTAATTAATCAACATAAATCCGATATACGGATACCACTATAATATTCAAATTACATTGCCATTCGAGGGCTATTATCCTATATATAAATGCTTGCATATATGAACTCAAATTATACCATATTTTAATATATTAAAAATATTTATGTTAATAATAAGAAAATTTATTATTATCACCTCATTGGTATTTAAATTATATTGCACCATATTATTATTAATAAATTCGCAATATTATTAGACAGCAGGCTATATACAAGACTTTTATATTAAAAATGTTGGTCACTTTTTATTTTAAATTGATCTCAAACTGAGTGTATAAATAACAAATTGATCGTGTTTTAAATTATTATATGCATATTTTTATATAAATATCTTTAATATTAATTTGGTTCATATGCCAATTTTGTACTTTTTGAGTTAAAAGTTGATTCTAGAGCTATAAAATGCGGTCTTTCGTATCTCTTACCTGTTTTTAATTAACTGTATTATTACTGAGAAACTTATCAAGTTTCATAGTTAACATTCTACAATCGCAAATGCAGATTTTTTTTATTTCAAATTTTAAAATCGTTTTTTTTCAAAATCAAATAAATGTCGTATGAACCAAACTAATAAGGTGACAAAAATATTCTATTATATAATTGCATTAAATGTAAATATTATTTTACTATATTTTCCTTTCCTATAACTATATAAAAATACTTCAATTTCAAGTGGGTAGATAAAAAATCCTATAGTGAAATCGGAACGAATTTAATAAAAAAAAAATTGTGTCACTTTTTTTTTGTCTATATCCATTAGGTATTATTTATAATTTTTATTAAAAAAAAAATCGACATGTACCATAGCAGTAAATTTACAAATTTTTAATATTGTAAAAATTATGATTACTTAATAATAAATAACACTGAAAAATACAAAAAAAAACCAGAATGTGTAACAATAATCTTATTTAGTTACATGCCTTAATAGAGAATTCAATTAGAGTGAAATTTTTTTACAGCAAACCATCGATATAAGGAATCTCTTTATTTTACAAACTACCACTCGGCGTCAGCAAATTTACAATTTAGTTTAATTTATTAATCAGCGAACTACGTTTTAAATTTTAAACAAAATATTTGGATTTGTAGTTTGGATAAGTGTATTCATAATATTGTATATTATGTATATCATAATATTGTAGTTTTACTGTATTTTAAATTGAATATATAACAAATTAATTCAATAAGAGTTTTGGAGTGTACGAGTATAGAAAATCATAAATGGATAGTAAGCAATTATTTTTCTATTTCATATTAGAATTGAAATAAAGATAATTTAAATTATATATTTCAGTTGCAATCACAATAAAAATAATAAATTAATGAATTTTGGATCCAATAATCTTATAAGGAATTCAAAAATCTTATTCTGTCTTTAAATATTATGTCACTGTTTTCAATTTTATTTTTTGTTTTCCAACAAAATTATGAATGTGATTTTAATTTAAATAAAAAAACCTTTTTTGAATTCAAATGAATTTATAAATAATATTATGAATATTTTAGAGGAAGATTTATTATGCAATTACCATTTCTTAGAAATATACCAGTACCATTTCTTATGTGTCCTTCTCACATAAAATTAAAACCAATCATTCCCACATGGGAATGAAATCATTGTAACATATGCGATTTTTGTTTTTTATGAAAGAATTCACGTGTAAATATCGGGATTTAAAACTATTTTGAGTAGGTGGCACCTACTCGGTATGTTCATATTAAAGAGACCAATTTTCAGTGGGTGTGATTATGTATATGGAACGCGTTTGAACATAATTGGATTCAAAGACTATTTGCCGAACCTACGTATTTAAATTTTGTTTTCAGATAAATGTAGTTAAGGGTGTAAGTTTCTTTTTTTAGGCAATGTAATCATTGAAATTATAGAAAAATTTATGTATTACGAAAATTAATTATATTTAATTAATTATTTAATTTTATTAAAATTTTGTTGCTAAAATAAATAATTCTTTTTTAATACAATTTGGTTTTCAAAATCTAGTATAGGTACTCATAAATTAACAGGCAAATTAACATCAGTGGTATATGCATTCCTGCATGCTGATGGTAGAAATTACAATTTTAAATTCTTTAGAATTTCAAATTTGAATTAAAATATAATTTATTAAAATTTTTAGACGCATTGGATGGACTTTTTGGAAATGGATTTATGCTCGAATTGAAATATTTCGCCTAAAAATTTCGAGGATCCTAATACCAAGAGCATATTGATTCAAGGTTTTAATGCAATTTATTTATGGTGTTTGTAAGATTATGCATAATCTTAAATGGGAAATTTTATATTAAAATTAAGAGAATTTAATTTTATTTTCAGGCAACATACATTCTTTATTAAGTCACTATAGATAAATTAATTTGGAATTCAATATTCGGAATAAATAAAAGCTGCCTCAATTATAATTCAATTAGTTTATATTTCATCTATATAAAGTTTCGCTTTTATAGCACAATTTGTTATTAATTAAAATTATAATCAATTAATAAAAGTGACTTTTCTCAAAGATTATTTAATGCGATACGTAGTACATACATACATTTCAACCAATTTAACTGTGTATGGTTGGCTACTACTACGCGAATCGAATATTTTTGCCATTTGGTTTTGTGATTAACCAAATTTTTTGAGCTCAATATTACCATATTTATACTTATATAAATAAATTAATTTAAATTTCAATAATTTATTAATTAAATATTGCTAAGTAAATCTAAGAAAAATATGAGTTAATAAAAGCTCTTAATTTAAGGTAACCTCAATTAATTCATGGATGTAATGAACTTAATATATGTATTTAATACTATGTACTAATGTAATTTATGCATATGTATAATTTAAATTAGAATTAAAAATTAAGTATTAATGAAGTTAACGGCATTTAAATTAGCATATAGGATTATTTTTATATTCAAAATATGGCACTTAAGTTCTTGTATTTAGTTTATGTGACATGAGTATAGATCTAAAACCTAAGCTGTAAATTTTACATTTTAGTATTGAATATATTTTTCTTGGCTTAATTGTTAATCCACAATATAAAATTATCAAAGTTAAGATGTGGATTTTTAAATCAAATTAATTAATTAAAAATATTTCATCATACCTTTTACGAATATGTGATTTAATATCAAGTGTTATTATAACATTAATCTGAATTAGAGGACACACAAATTTTCTACTTGCATACATATTTAGCTTAAAATAAATTAATTCAAAAAAAAAATTTTTTTTCGGCATTCTCATATTAAAATCATGGAATGCAATTTATAAATTATACAAAATTCTTACTTATCTTGTTTTCAATGATCTTAATTTAAGTTTCATTGAATACCAAAAAGAAAAATGCAAAATATAGACGTAATTGGAGCTACTGTAAAATTTAAAATTATTATTTTTAGAGAATTTTGCTAAAAAATTATATTAGAATATTAAAATTTATGATTTATCTTAAAATTCATGTTAATCTTAATTGATTTTCTACACATAAGTTATAATTATTTTACATAATAAATATCATGTGTGTAATTAAATGTTAACATTATTATTCAAATATTTCGCGTTGTTTTAGATCAAAAGAAGACCAAAATTAAGTATGCATGTGTATTGTTAATTATAATTAATAATTAAAAATGGGTTGTATTTAATTCGGACCACTCTTTGTGGTGCCACACATATTTTGTGGTTTTTTTCATTATTCAAGAATTATTATAAGCTTTACTTATATGAAAAGTTGTTTAAATTTACTTAAACATATTGGTATTGGTCTTATATTAAAATAAATTAAATTAATTAGCATAAATTTATTTATCATTATTCAGTTTAAATAGTAAGAAACAATAAACCTTAAATAATAAATATTTAAGGTTTATTGTTTCCATTTCAATGAACTATAAATAATTTAATTAAAATTAATTAGGTTTAAAATACTTCAGCAACTCCTTTAAATATTGTGATTAATAGCATTATATTAGCATACTGACAACCATATATGGTAAACCATTAATGCAATTAATTACATAATTTCTTGCAAAATTTTAAATAGAAATTGTTACTTTTTTTTACCTCATACTACACATGCCTTGGAGTATAATAAATTAATTTTTTAAATTAATTATCTTGATCTGTAGCTAATACATCGGTTAACTTAACCACAACATAACTTTCTAGTATTTTATATTATTGAATATTACATTAAAATTATTTTACTTTACTTTTGCGTAGGAAGCTAACAGTTATCTAGCTCAAACGAAAAAAATTATTGTCCTATTTTAATTTTAATTTCATTTTAAGTAAAATTTATTCTTTTGCAAATTAAATTTTTTTTTAAATTTAATATTTTAATTTATTTCTTTTAGGTATTCCAGCAACATTAACATATATTAATATGGATCATACAGTTTCTGGATCACCTGAATTAATTCCATATCCTGATTGGAGAAGTAATACAGCTGGTGACTGTGCCAATAGTATTACAACAGCTTATCGTATTAAAGTAGATGAATGTGGACGTCTTTGGGTTTTAGATACAGGAACTCTTGGTATTGGTAATACAACAACAAATCCATGCCCATATGCTTTAAATATATTCGATTTATCAACAAATTCACGTATACGTCGTTATGTTTTCCGTCCAGAAGATACAAATGCTAATACATTTATTGCTAATATAGCTATTGATATTGGAAAGAATTGTGATGATGCATTTGCATATTTCTCTGATGAATTGGGATATGGTTTAATATCTTATTCATGGGAACAAAATAAATCATGGAGATTTTCGGGACACAGTTATTTCTTCCCAGATCCATTAAGAGGTGATTATAATATTGCAGGTTTAAATTTCCAATGGGGTGAAGAAGGTATCTTTGGCATGGCTTTATCACCATTACGATCAGATGGATATAGAACAATGTATTTTAGTCCACTTGCAAGTCATCGCGAATTTGCTGTGTCAACAAGAACATTACGTGATGAATCACGTGTTGAAGACAGCTATCATGATTTTACATTCTTTAATGAAAGAGGACCAAACAGTCATACAACTGCACGTGTAATGAGTGATGAGGGTATTATGTTATTTAATTTAATTGATCAGAATGCTGTTGGTTGTTGGCATTCATCAATGCCATACGAACCACAATATCATGGTGTTGTTGATCGCGATGATGTTGGTTTAGTATTTCCAGCTGATGTTAAAATCGATGAAAATCGTGACGTTTGGGTATTATCAGATCGTATGCCTGTATTTTTGTTGTCCGATTTAGATTATAATGATGTCAACTTCAGAATTTATACTGCTTCATTGAATGATTTAATTGAAGGTACAGTTTGTGATGCAAAAGTTAATTTATATCAACCGAAACCAATTTATAACGGTTACCGCCCGCGACCAATTGGAGGTTATCAAAAACCACAATATCAAAAACCAATTTATCAAGCACCACAACCTGTTACACAAAAAAGTTTATTATTACCAGCAATTCCACAAGTAAAAGAACCTGTAAATAATTACTTACCAGTATCAATTCCAGCCTCACCACCAGTTTCCGCATATTATACAACACAAAGAGTTCCTATTTCACATATTCCTAAAGCATTCATTTTTAATCAACATAATGGCTTAAATTATGAAACAAGTAGTCCAGCTATTTCTTATAATCCAGGTGGCGGATTAAGTGATTTCAGAGGATCATATAGAGATGATTCATCAACAAATTATAAAAATTTTGGATTTTCAACGGTATGGGGTAACAACCAATAACCATGCATTCGATATGAAAACAATTAAATAGCAAGAGGACATTTTTTAGCACATAAGAAAGAAAACAGTCGTAACGTATAACCTATATTATATAAATAACATGTACATATGAATCATCATCTATATCACAATTTAAAGCAAACAATATTATTATTATGTATGTATGTATGTAAATATAAATGCGCGTATAAAATATTATTTTTTGTTGACATAAAATCTCTCTGTTATTAAAAAATTCATTCTTCATAATTTATTTTTATGTAAAAAAAAATTAAAACTATTGTTATCGTCATTGCTTAAAATTATCTTTACGTATGATAAAATTTTCATATAAATTGTACATTATAATTGCATACCTTATAGTAAACTTCTTAAATTTCTTTATACATAGAATCTAGTTAATTAAATGTTTAATAAAAAAAATAAAGAAAAGATTTTTAATTTTAATTTTATTTTAAGGTGAAAAATATATGTGAAATTTGAGTACCTGGGAAACTGTATATTAAGTCACTAGAGTGTGAGCAGTACTTGAAGAAGTTTTGAATTGCATCATTGATCTTGAAGTAACTAATTCCAGCTTGGATTTTAAGTCATTCAGCCCTTTGAACTGCATGCACTTCATTTAAAAGATGTAAAAAGAAAATAAAATTTCGCTGAGTGAAAATTTTATAAGACGATGCAAATTAGACGATTTTGAGACATTTTATCTAGAGTTCTCTTGATTCTTTTACATTATAATTATTAGACTAAAATATGTTTGGTTTGTTTAGCCTTGAGCCTATAAATTGAATTAATTTTAAAATTTCAAAAACATTTTTAAATTCTTCAAATTTCAACATAACATTCAACAGAAACTTCAACTTAATTTAAATGTGACATTAAGAAGTGCGCTTGAAGACGTAAATAGTAAGATACGCCTATTTTCTCTGTATATTTTTTATTTGTAATTATATAGCTTTTAAATAATTATTATTAATCTTCTATAATATTCAAATGTTCATTAATTCAATACCTACACAATAATATGTTTTTGGATGCCATTATGCGAACGACATAAAAATTATAGACCGGCAACTTCAAAGGTTAATAAATAATTTAATGTGCAATATGAATTGGGTTAAACAAAAAACTTTTCATATATAAAAAGTAAGTTCTTAATTTTAATGGACCCCTCATCATTTTTAACAAGCCGTTGGCGACTTTGGTGGTATTTTGGCACTCGACCTTTCCATAATTATGTATTCTATTTATGTACATACATAATAAATGTTTATAAAAATCGGATTAATTTTGATTCATCTGTTATTTTGTTATACGAGTACACAGGAAAAAAATTTTTTTTATCGGTATAACGACTATCGATTGATCTTTTAATCCCAAGATCAAAATGAAAAATAAAAAAACAATATTTAAGTTATGAATAATAAATTTAGAATTGTTTAAAGTCACTAAAATATTTTGAGTTGAAAGTGAAAAACAAAAGAATCTTAAGAAGCTTGGTAAATTACTGTTGTTTTCCTTTACACACTTGAATATGTAAAGTGTTTATGCTCGTTTTAACTTAATATTTAATATAAAATTTGTGTTCACTTTATATGTAAATGCATAAATCAGTAAAATTTGAATCGATAATGCCTTATAATTACTAGCTATTAGCAATGTTGTCATGTTCCCTTTCTTAACGTATCTTTGAGAATTTTTTAAAGAAAAAATAAAAAATTTAAATTCGATAGTGATCAATTTTATTAGTGATTTAGAAAAGGTCGAGCTAAATAAAAGTATTTGAAAAGTATTTTATTTGTTAAATATGTGCGTCCAGCTTTATGAAATATGGAAATTATAATAATAGATGCGAAAAGTATTGTGTTAGCTAAAATGTTTTGAAGGTTGAAATCATATCCTATAATATTATATTTAAATAAATCTTTAAAGTTATTATATTTACTCAAAATGAACTTATTAGTTATGTTTGCTCAATTATTCAACGGTGACAGCCCTGTGGTAGGATTTAGAACACAAGATGATTTTTTTTCAAATAATGTTAAAAAGAAAGCATGGCTTAAGAAATGAGGTCATGAATCTGATAAGTCAAAAAAGTAATTTGAAAGTGAAAAAGTAAACAGGAAGTGCTTTTTTTTATAATGTTTAATGTATGGACACTTGGGCTTTTAGAGTAGATTTTCCTATTTTAAACATACACTACAAATAAATTTGATTGGCTATCTCAATTACGTAAACATTTTTACACTTTATAAGTTTATTTTTTACTTTTTGAAATATTAATTTTTGAAATGCTTTTTACCTTATATACATAAATAATATGCACATACAAGTGTACGCATACGTGGAGGTACATCGCTATGTAAGGACTCAGTAGAATAAAAGTCAAAATTAATATAATATGTAATATTCAAATTTTTAATATTAGACAAAAAAATTAAAATAAAATTCTTACCAAAAAAAAGAAAGAAAATATTTAGGCGGACATGATTATATTTCGGTCGGCTTCTTTATATTTACGTCTAAAGCGCCTTAAGTATTTTTTTGCAGAGGAAGGTGTTTTTAATTTAAATTATGAATGAAACTGAAGCATATTATTACGAATTTATGTTATTCTTGTTCAAAAATAAGTGTGTAAGATTTAAATTTAAAAATAAATCTTATATGAACATGCGATTCAATAGTACTGATAAGTTTAAATGGAAAAACATTAAAGATAACAACATTTTTTTACTAAAAAAAGAAATCAAACAAATTTATGCAGTGACAACAGCCGATTTCTTATAACTGATAAAAGTAAAAAAAAGGTGTTAAAAGTACTCGTGGGGTTTTTTTTGCCAGTCTTAATTGCAAATACATAATGTAGAATCATTGCAATTAAAAATTTCGTGTAAATTTGTTAGTGTAGGGTGGGGTCCTTTTAACATAATAATAAAGTTTGATTTACATCTTTTTATCTATATGTTATAATTAATTAAATTTGAATCAATTATTTAGTTTTTTCAAATTGCGAAAATATTTAATACCTTGGACTTTTGCACCGGAAATGTTAATTTCCTTTATTAGATATTTGATAAGTTAATGGAAGAAAATATCATATGAAATTCAAATGGAATACTTTTTTATACCTATTTGGACATTTTGTTGTTGAATAAAAATTTGAAATTTTTAAAAAATTTAAGGATTCCATCAAAATTATCTTCTAAATTTGTGTGAGATGTTAGGCTGGTACTTTACATTTCACAATATTGTGATTACATATTCATTAAGAAAGTGTAGTTCGTAATAGTATCTCTATCCATCATTCAGTCAAAACTTTTGTATGAATTTTGTATATATTTTTAACCACTTGAGAATTTCTGTCTTAATCTAATTAAATCTGCACGTTAATATTATTTAGTAATAGCATTATATTTAGTAATATATAGTTTGTTAGGAACCAATTTTCACTAAAAGTACCCAGGACTAACTCGTTAAATCAAAATGAAATAGGAAAATTCAAAAATATTCATTATTTATTGGTTTATATATAAGTCAAAATCTTATTCCCTCATCTCAGAATTTCTCAAAATCTATTTCTTTCAGTTTTTCTAATATGGTCTACTTACAAATACAAGCATATTTCTGCTGAAAACTTGACGAAATTTGACATAGGACAACATAATCTTACTTATTGCATTAAATATGTATACAGAAACTTTTAATTATTTTTTTCTTTACAAAAAATTGAGCTGGTAAAATTAATTTTTTTTTGTTTTTGCTTTTAAAATAAGAAAAATCAATTGTTTTGGTTTTGAAATAAAATTATTTATTTTTCCATTTTTCATGATTTTTTTTGAATTTTTTTTGTTTTTTTTTTGTTTACTATATAATAATTTTTGAATTGTATTATATAATTTTTTTTGTAATTTTTTTTTGTGTGTTTTATATATATATATATATATTTGTTTTTTGCTTTTTAAATTTTATTTTATTTCTTTATTAAATTATTTTGTTATACTGAAATTTTTTATTTTATCATTTTGGATTTTGGTTTTTTTTTAATTTAATGATTTTAATATAATTTTTTTTTGTAATATTAAATTTTGTTTTTATAAATTTTTTTCTGTTTTCAATTTTTTTAAATTTATTTTCAGTTTTTGTGATTTTTTTTTGGATTTTTATTTGTTTTCTGTTTTGTTCTTAATAATGATGGTTTCTTGTTTATAATAAACATTTTTTTAAGTACTCTTATAAATATTATAAATTGTTATACATATAATTAATTATAAATGAAATTTATACTTGTTATATTTTAATTATAATTTGATTTAACAATATGTTGAATATTGTTATACATATTATAGTGAATATTGTTATTAATTTATATTTGTATTTTTTAAGTGTTATATTAAAATTATATATAATTTTTAATTTTTTATTTTAATTTAATTAATTATTAATGTGTTTAATTTTCTCATTATGGTTGGTTTCTGTTTTTTTTTTTAATTTAATTAACTGCAATATTAATTCATTTATTTTCTTTCTTTTATACATACGTATATATTTTGTATATTATTCATGTATTATGTTATAAATAATTTTTTATAAATTTTATAAATATTTTAATTTTTGTTTCAGTTTTTTTTTTTGGTTTTTAATTAATTTTTTTTTTATAAATTTTACATTTAATATAATTCTTTTTGGTTTTTTTATTTAATGCTTTTTTTTTGTTTTAATATTAAATTTTTTTTTTTTGGTTTTTTTGTTTTTGTTTTTATTTATTTCTTCAACATATACAATAGTTTAGATATAAAATTGGTTTTGGTTTCTTCTCTGTTTTGTTTTTGTTTAATTTTTAAATTTTTTTCTTCATTTATTTCATTAATATTATAAAGTATTTTTAATTTATATAATTATACATATGTATGTTTGTATATTTAGTACTCGAATATATGATTTTGTATTCACCTATGTATAATATTACATGCATAACTGTAAATGTATTTGTTTACATTATATACAATAAATAAATATATTATATAATATTAAATATATATTATATTTTATATGTATACATAGAAATTTATATTTTTCGTGTATAAGAGTTATTATTTTAATTATATATAATTATAACTTGTTTTTTTTTTCAAATTTAATAAAAACAATAATAAATATAGTTAATGTTATACAATATAGAAAAAGGAAAAAAAGTCCTTAAGTTTCTTTTTTTGTTTTTTTTTAATTATTTTATTTTTAATTTTTTTTTTGTTAGATTTTGCTGTGAAATATTTAAGATTTTTTAAGATGTTTTAATTAATTTTAAAAATTTATTATTTTTTTTTCTGTTTAACAAATATTATTTTGGTATAATTGTTTTTGT